ACAAAGGCATTATGAGAGACTGATTATTTTTAACTGAGATATAAATTAATTGATATTTTTTTCTTTTCAAAAATATACTTATATACAAGTTCTTTTTTAACAACGGTCCATTATTATATTTCAGAACAGTTAGAAAAAGATCCGTATACAAAAACGAAATGAATTACATACCAGAACGTCGCGAATATCGTTCGAGCAAAACTGGGTAGATGAATGACAGTGGTATTGTTTCAGATTGCCGCCACCGTTGCCCAGGATTACGAGGTCTCTGACATTCAGTGCAGCGGCGCAGGATCAGCCGCCGATCTTCTGACAGCGAAGATCAAAAGGCCAGTTAGTTTCAGAGGAGCGCCGCTCTTTGCCGACGACAGATCCGCCAATCCACTCACCGACATTCACTGCCAGATCAGGCCAGATCCCAACGATCCTCAGGAAGATAACTACTTCCTGAAGGTGACTGACTTCTCGAGATGCGGCATCCTGAAGAGGAACGTGAGTCATCGATCGAAATTTTCGTTTCCCGCCTTCACTGCGTTTTTCTCCTCGTTCTGCATCGTGCATCGATAAATGAAACAGATCAGTTAATACATAATCGCTTTCGTGTAACAACTTGTTACATAATTAATTGTAATTATCATTTGGTTTTCTCGATGATCGTTAAATTAATAAAAGACACGCGATATTTATGATCATGTTACAAAAGTTAAGAACAGATAGAAATAAATTTCGTTGTAATTATTTTATATAGCTTTAATTTGTAATGCTTTTGATTGAATTTAAGTGTTTTAATCATTATCTTAAGTTTTAAGTGATAATGAATCTTAAAACATTAAAATCCAAATCTTTGGAAGAGTATTATTTGATTCATAATTATTAAAAAAAAAAAGGGAAAAAACTTAAACTTATTAAACACACGATAAATTAAACTTTATTATTATTAGGGTTTTATTCACCTGCGAATATGGTTTCCGGCTTTTCCCGGTGTTGTAATGCTAGCTGATCAAGAATTGATTTTAATGTGTCGACCACCTGAACCCACGTTACTTCGACACAAAGCCGCTGGATTCGCTGGAACTTTGTAAGTTGTTCTTCAGCAAAGCCACCAGTTTCATCCAATAACTTTGCTCCAATAACTAGAAAGCATACATGAATTGCAAATTAATTCAATGCAATATAATTTTTTTATGATAACCAAATTGTAAAAATATTTTTAACAAAATGTAACTAAAATTTAGTATACATTTTATAATTCTCTTAAAAATTGCAGCTCATAAATTAAGATTTTTCTCTATTGCAAAGTTTTTATTAATTTCATCATAAATTTATCTTTAATTTAACTTTATTATTATAAATTTAAATGAAACATATTAACAAAAAAAAATATAATTATATACTTATATTTACATAAAGAATATTCAAGAATATACACAAAAATCTTCTTAAATCTTTACATATATTTCTTCTAGTCCACATGGAGCAAGAGTGTCCGGAGTAGTTGAAGAAACTCCTGGAAGGCTAGAATACGAGGTAGCCCTTTATCGTGAAGCCACAGGCAATGTATCAGATGCATCTGGATCACAAACAGTCGATCAAGCGGTTCCCATCGGCACAAAACTTCAGTTAAGAGCTCGAATAAGTGCAGATAGTGCATGGGGTTACATTAAACTATTGGAAGTGACCGTTAGTCCCGATCCCGATCAGCCTCACGCACCAGGAAGTGTTATATTGGTGAAAGATGGTTGTAGAAATCGAGATTTCGCGTCAATAATTCCTCATCAACCGGCCCGCTACAGGGAAAGAAAAAATGAAGTTTTCCTGGATTTCGAGGCATTTCTTCTCAGCTCAATGAGGGAGCGATCGACGCTGTGGATCCACTCGCAGATCAAAGCTTGTATGGAACCGCAGGACTGCCAACCGGTAAGGACATAATTTGCGGTCAAACCTATCTCGTGGTCGACGACTGAATGAGTGGCTATTGACCTGTTCGTAATTCGGTGTCTGTGGTAACAAAAACGTTCATCCTTTAACCCGCTCGTGCGGCTTTCAACGAGTTTGCGGCTTTTCAAATGATTGTTTGCGCACGCTCTTTGTTTGAACGCAAACAATTTCGATATAAAAACAAGATTAATGCATTAAAGTGCATATTGTTGCACGATATTTATCGTTAACGAAAGTTTTATTCGATTATGATAGATGTGATTGAAAAAGAATAAGAATTAATTTATAAAATAAGTTAATTCTTATATTGGTAATTTATCTTTGGACATATATATAGAATATTTAAATAAATAAAAGATTATCTAAATGATATCCTTTGTGTAAAGACAAAAAATATCTGATATCAAAATCTTAATATTTATCAGAAGCGTTTACTTTAATTTAATATATAGAAATAGAAATAGAATAATGAATAATATATGTATAAAAATTAATAACTTATTAAATATTTATTTTTATATCTATTACAGGATTTTTGTCTTGATCTTTTTGAACCATCAGGACATGGTAAAAAAAAGAAAAGATCTATCGAAGAAAGTACAAATGAGATATTTCCTAAAATCGATCATTTAATAAAAGAATACAACGATTCGACACCTTATACAAAATTTAAGGAAAATATCGAATACACGGTGATGATGTCCGATGGTAAACTTCATATAAATTTCATTTTTTATTTATCAACATTAAATTAATGATTATTTCAAAGTTTTAAAGACTCAAATTTAAATATATTTTTACCATATTAAAATAACAAAATAATATAATATTAATATTACAATTATAAAATTCCTTAAATTTTTATTTTTTGTCTTTTAGATTTATATCAAAAAGTGGCTGCTGGACTTGAAAACAGTTGTGGTAGTTTTCTTTACGTTGCAACTGGACTAGGTGCACTTCTTGTTTTATCAGCTTTTATCATGTGCTATCTAGCAACGCGACTTCATAATTTATCATCCACCATACCGCAAAATAAATCTATCGATGAATTAGTACGAGATCGCGCTAGAAAATATTCTGAACCAATACCAGGTTACACTGGCCGATCTACAGTTCAATAGCAGAATGCAAATGTTGTACTCTACTTTATTTGTGTTCAATCAAAATGAAACATTTTTACGGAATGAAATAGAAAACCAAATTAAAAGATTAAATTGTTGTACGAAGAGAAGCAACATATCATATACAAATAATTAAAATTATAATATTCAATGATAAGCTTTAAAAAATTATTAAAATAAGAATATAGAATTTCAAATATATAAATATAATTAATATATTTAATTAAAAAATTAAATTTTAATAAGATATTTATATTAATTTTAGTTTAAAATATATAAAATAATAAGATTTAATAGAATTGCTACAAAAATATGAATATGTTAAAAATTGCGATTTATAATATATTATTTATAATATAAAAAGACAAATGTAATTTACAAATTTAAGAAATACTAAATTTTTTTATTATTGTCTTTCTACCTGATCATTCACTTTGCACGTTTTATATAGCAAATTGCACGAAAAACTATTTTACTTTTCTCACGTTAAGTACATATTTATTATTTATGAAACTATTTTTTTTATTATTTCAAGATAAATTTATTAAACGTGCAGTGCTATTACGTGACCTGAAACAGTGCATATGTAATCTCAAATAGTAATTTAGATTAATCGTATTAAGTTATTAATTATAGAATAATTTATTATCTACCCCAATATGGATTCATCATAATGAATCAAGTTTTCTTGAATAAGTGACAGTTTGAATCAATGTATATATATGTAAACATAATAAGATATATTAATCATATGTGAAATTTTATCATTTATGAATTTTAATTCCAAACTACTTAATCGACTAAATGTATAAATAAATAAATACGATAAGATATTTATTGTATTAATATGATCGCATATAATAATTTTATTTATTGCAAAATAAAGCATTATTACATATTTACGCATGTCATGCTTTTAGATACATTAAATTGATAGCAAAAATTAAATCAATTATTCCATATCATAATATTTTATAGCCTATTATTTTGTTACATTATTGCGAATACAATATGTAATACGGAATGCGATAATGCTGTGCAATTGCGCTTATACATACAAATAAAAATATAATTTATTATAATCAATTCTAATTTAAAAAAGTAAATAAAGCACATAGAAAATAAATTTTAAATATACTTTGATACAAATATGTAACATCAAAAATAAAAATGTAGAATAAATCTATTCTATATTACGTATATGACTAAAATTTATCTTTGGTTAATATTTTACTTTCAAGTAATGCTAATAATAATTAGTAAAAATAAAAATAATATAATAGTTATGTAATTACAAAATGTGGCACTTATGATTTATTTTACATTTTTAACATTTTCAAATGTACATTTTTTTTGTATGCACTATTCATTCATATTAAATATATTATATTTGACAAAATAAGAAGATATTTGTTATATATATAATAAAATTTTATGAATATTGCACAATTGAATATCATAAAAAAATATAAATCAATTCTTTCTTATAAAAATATACAAAATTATAATGCATTTCATAGAATAAATAATATAATAAATAAATTATTTAATTAATTATATTTTTTATAACTAATTATAAAATTTACTATAATTGGAATATAATTAATATAATTGGAATTTCTTTAAAATTTCTCATTTTCTAAAAAATATATATTTTTTTTTTTGATAAATTTTGATAAAAAATTATATAAAATTATTATAACTGCATTGCAGCTGCATTATAAAACTTAAAAATACTTAAAAATATTTAATATAAAAATTATTACTTTTACTATGATAAAACCACTACAAAAAATTAAATATCATAAAATATGTAAATAAAACCAATTTTGTAAAAAAAATTATATTTTTACATAATGTCAAAATATTTTGATATTTAATTTTCTTCTATATTTATCTCAAATATACAGGATGTTAATATTGTAATAATCAAAACTTATTAATGATATTATTATATCAGATATATATATATATATGCATAATTAAATATCGCAACATAAAATAAAATTTTCTAAATGTTTTTAATTAAAAATATTTGAATATACAAATATTCACAATTTTGTATACATTTATCGTTGTATTTTTTTTTTATCATTAAATCATTGGGAATGAAAAATAATATTTTTATAAAATATTAATATATACTTGTATTATATATTAATATTTTAAATATTTAGTATAATTATAAATGTATATCCAAATAGAATTAAATAATTTAAATATTAGTGTGATATCATATTTACAAATATATATATCATAAAATATAATTATCACACACTCTGCATATACAGAAAAAATTATTCAGTTCTTTCTTTTTTCTGGGATTTTATAAAGGCTTCATAAGCTGCTAACTCTTTTTTTTCTTTCTTTAAGTTTCTATCTTCAAATTCCAACCTGTAATTAAGGACTATATGACAACATGGTAAATTTATCTTAAATATTTGGGATATGCAAATATTTTTAATTATATTATAAATTAAATTTTTGTATAAAAAGTACACACATAAGAAAATTATAAATAGATAGAAATAATTACAAGATGAATCTGTGAATTCTATTATTAGCACAAAATTGCATATCCCATTATGAAAGCATAATAGATGAACGATAAAAAATTATAAAAAAAAGAATTTTTATTACAAATTAAATGAACAATTACAAAATGCAAGATGGTAACAGGTCAACGGTTGTTCAAGTTCTTAATTATCATATATAGTTCATTTGACCTAGGAAGATAAAATACTGCATACAATATATTTTTATTACCAATTTTGTATCAATAATATATATATATATATTTATATAACAAAAAGGATATTTATATCTTTAAATAGATAAAATTTGAATATTCATTAAAGTTACATAATATTATGATTAGATATTTAATACTTTTTTATTGAATGATAATTTTAAAAAATTTATATTTAGAATTACATCTAATATAATTCTAATATAAATATCTTTTTTAAACAAACAACTTTTGTAATATTATTAAAAATTTTCTTTATTAAAAATTATTTTTACCATTATTTATTTATTCTTCTCATTTTTAATTCTTTTAAATCATTATAATTTCAATTTTATTTTTTTTTTATTGAATTTTAAATAATTTTTAAATATAAATAAATTAATATAAAATTTATATATTATATATAACTTTAATTTGGAATCTAAAAATCTTTGATTGTAATTAATAAAATACTTTTAATCATATAATATTATATAATATATAATTATTTAACATACCTGTGAAGAATTATACGCTCAACAATTTTTTCTGTTGTCATATCATTACCACTATCCAACAATTTAAATTTATTTTGTCTTTTAGGTTCAACATATGGATCTGAACCATCTTCACAAGGCATGATAGGAGTTTGACCATGACAAACAATAGATACATCAAAATGTTCCATAAGATCTTTAGTAACTTCATATGGTGCTCCAATTACTACTTCATTAACATACTATTTATAAATCAAATAATAAATTTTAAATATGTCATAATTCAATTATTTTCAGACTTTAATTAATAATCTTATTTCTTACCTTGCATGCTAATACACTAAGTACTCTTTCATGAAGATTCATAATTGGATGATTACCATATTTGTACCGATTAACTACTGGATCTGTATGAAGTCCAACTATAAGATAATCACCTTCTTTTTTTGCAACTTCTAAGAAATCTAAATGACCAACATGAAAAAGATCAAATGCTCCTGCTACATAAACTATTTTGTCTCCAGGTTGTGGACTTTTTCCATCACTAAATTGAATAATTTTTTGTGTAGTAGGTAAAAATTGTGAACAACCTGTCCAAGGACTTCGAGCTGTTCTGTCTTGACCCATGCTTTTACTGGGTTCTCTATCAACACTATATTCACTATCTCCTTGTTTAAAATGTTGTCGTGTCATTAAAAGCATACGTCCTACTAAATCAGTTGTTGATACACCAGCTGTTCTCTGAACTTCTCTACAATAATTACATTTTTATACATATTTTATTTATATATAATTTATTATTATTACTAAAACTCTTTTCTTTTCTTTTTCTCTTTCCCTTTCTCATTATTTTATTATTCTATTTATACCTGTAGCGACCTGCTGCTTTAACCAAATGATACGTATCTACACCATCTGCTGTCATAGTAATATCATCACCATGAACACAAAAATCACAATTATATTTGTCTAATGTTTCCAGAGTTGTAACATAAGGTGCTCCTTCAACTACTTCATCTACCCACTTAATACCACGAACCATTTTATATCTAATATAAATATATTTAATTAAATAACAAGTATAAATTAAAAATCATTCTAAAAATATTTAATTTTTTTCATATTATTTAAAAAAAATTACTTTTCATATTTATATATATATATTAATAAAAAATGTAGAAATTATTTAAAATTTAAAATATAACTTATTTTATTGCAATAAAATCATACCTTTCTTGTTCCATAAATACTGGTGGTCCTTTATGTTTAGTAATTTCTTCATCTGTATGTACACCCACAACTAAATAATCACCTAATGCTTTCGCTTGACGCAAAGAATTCGCATGGCCAAAATGTACCATATCATAACTGTATTGAAAAAAATTCTTATATATTTATTTATATTTATTTAAAAATATAGATCACAACATTGTCAATTTAATTTAAAAAAAATATCATAATTTTGTTATACATATGATTTTTTATTTTTTATGTATGATTATGTCATCATTCGATTATGAAAAAATTATAATCATATACCAATTTCGAACAATAAGTACGTGTAATTTAAAATAAATAGAGTAAGGTTATAATTTGATAGAAACGTACCATCCATCACACCACACTCTTATTTCTTTACGATTTTCTGTCATAATGAAGAAAATTGATATTTATTATATAAGAAACAATTTTTTTTTTTTTTTTTTTTTTTTTTTTTTACTCAATAAATAATAATCGATAACTATGATACACACTACATCAAATCTGGGAAAGCACTAAGATACTGCGTGCTTGCTTCGCCAATCCACATTATTACTCACACATCATATATTTTTCAACTATATCCCCACTTCTTTTATTTCTCTCTCTCTCTCTCTCTAGACATTTATAAGAGATATTAAATATTTGAAAAGAGAAATCCAATAAAATCAAAATATTTGAAATCAATTATAAGATATTTTTAAATTTTGAACAGTTTTAAAATAATTTTAAAATAATATTTAATATTCATATATATTAAATATATAAAATGATTTACAATTCAATATTGTAAGTCCAAATAATTCTTATCATGTTATGGATTTTTTTTAAATTCTATTAATTTTATAAATAAACTTATATTCCTATTTTTAAAATATAAATTTTAAATTTATTATAAATTATGTAATTTAAAATTAATATATTTTTTCAATTTTTTTTATGTAATTAAACATAAATTTGAAATACAATAAACGTGATAGTATAATAACATAATATATTATTACAATGAAAATGGAATATTTCATTATTTATTAGACAACATTGTACAATATAAAAATATTACGACTATTTCAGATCTACAAAATTTACTATTGATAAGACATTAATAATATCTTGTATATAGAATTCTGATCTAATGATCTTTTAATTTATTCAACATCAAAAAATATATTCACGCAAAGTTATAAAACACTGAAATTTACACATAAATATATTATGTGATAAATACTATGATAAATGACTAATGATATTACAATGTGAATTCTATTATCGCAAAAATAATTAGACAGGCACACGTAATCGGCAGTTATAGCTCTAATAATATCGCTAAAGTGTAATTGTACAGAATATTATATTGGAATGAATCAATATATTCTGATATATTCTGATCATATGATAAATCTTCAGCCAATGATAAATATCTTTTTATGATTGAAGCTATTAACATTAATCATTCATAATGACACATATTATAACATATTATAATTTATTTTATGAACGATATTAATGTTAAGTGTAATAATCATTTTAAATAGTTACATGACTGAAATATTATTTTAATGAATATAAATCATTTTTTTTTTTTTGACAAAATTCATGTGAAAAATATAATAATTATAACAACATCTCAAAGCAATATGACTTTTTAATGTAATATCTTTAAATTCAATAGAAAATTTAATGAATGCAATTTTTTCTGAACAAGGAAATCTATATATATATATATAATAAAATTTTATCTAAAATTATTTAAATATTTTATATTCATATTATTAAATTTTTAATATTATAATGCATAGTTTTATACTCTTTTAAATTTAATACAGTGCAATGTATTATATGTTTGAAATAATATAAATAATTCATGCATTTACAATTTATATCAATACTTACAGAAGAATCAAATTTCTATAAATTAAACAATATTTATAATTACCACAAATTATAATATTATTATTAGCATAATTGTTTGAAATTAATTTTTTTCATTATTCACTGTTTCTTAATCTCCTTTATTTAAAAAAACATTATTTTTTATTATTTCTTATTATATTTTATAATTAAATTTTTGTTTTTATTTTTATTTAATCTATATTAAGTATCTAACATTTTCAAACAATGAAGCATAAAATTCCATGAAAATAATATAGTTATATTTGCAAAAATCGAAGTTAAAAATCAGCAGTAATGTGATCTGCTATTACATTTACATGTACATTTTTTTTCTTTTTTCTTTTTTTTTTTTTTTTTATAAAAAAGAATGCTTATGAATATCCTTAAATTATCATAATCTAAACCTTCTAATACATTTAATTATATTGTTTTAATCGCTATTACGTGAATTTTATTCTATTTTATGTTTAGTCAGCGCGAGAAGCACGTCATATAGAAAAAATATTCTATTTGAACAAAACATGTTTAGTCATGATAAAAACTACACTACATAGAAAACATGTTCTATTGAAATAGAATATTTTTCTGTTTCTTTTTTTCTTTCTTGTTTTTTTACTATATTACATAAAAGTTTTTCTTAAAATTAATTATTTTTAAGTATTTCTTAAAATTAATAACCATTTTGTTGTCTATAATTACTGCCACTACTTCCTCCCCCGCTTCCTCCATATCCACCATTTTGACTATAACTGTTGGAACCACCACCAGAACCTCCACCATAATTGTTTTGAGAAAATACTTTACTATTATAACTGCCACCTCCCATACCACCTGAAGACATAAATTATTTAATAACTGTACATAATATATGCAAAAAATAAAAAATCTTACAATTTTTATTTGAAGTCATACTGCTATTAGTGCCATTCCATTTATTTCCTCGGTCTCCACCACTACTACTATTAGAACGATCAAATCTTCCACCTCTATCTCCATCACGACCTCCTCGCGAACCTCGTGAACCGCCGCCACCGCGGCCTCCAGAACCACGTCCACTGCCACCTCCGCTACGTCCTCCATAACGACCTCCTGTAATAAAAATATAAGAAAATAAAATACAATAAAAGTATAAAATACAAAAATAAATTGGTTAATTAAAATTAAATTAAAGCATACTTTTATAAATGCCTGGATTTCTCGATAATTCGTATAATTTAGGATTTACAACTTGTTTTGCTTCTTCTAAAACTTGTATTAAGTCACTAGCCTTGTGTGCGTTACCAGGAGTGAAAAATGCGTACGCAGTTCCGGTACGCTGTGACCGTCCTGTACGTCCGATCCGATGTACATAATCTTCCGAATTGGACGGGTAATCCAAATTTATCACAAACTTAACATCTTCCACATCTATATAACATTAAAAGTTAAAATCATCGAAAACGAAAATTACTTATGTCTTTGTGGTTCAATTAACTTACAAAGCGAATTAATAAAGCATTAATAAACATAATATGTGCAATATAAATGGAATTAAATATTACTTATAAATTAAAATATATATTATTATTCACTTTTATTTATCAACTTTTATAAGATTTTTAATTCCATTTATAATTTTTATATAAAATATATAAATGAGTTGACCACAAAGAGCAAATTTTTATATTATTTACCTGTGGTTGTCAAAAGCTGGAAACGTAAATACATTTTTGGAAATGTAGAGGAATCAGAGCTCAGATGGTTCTCATGGAATTCTCACTTTATGCGTTAGTGAGCTGTATATTTACTCTTAGTAACTTCACACCCTTCTCTCCCGCACCAAAGTATGGATCTGTGCTGGTCTTTCAAAATTTGGTCCTTGCGTATTGCTTCCGTGAGGTTGGAACATTGGACAACATGTGCATTCTCCGATCAACCCCACATGCATTCCATTGTATGAGTAACATCAACATTTATTTTGCAATGTTGAAAATTCATAAATTTTTTTTTGAAATTTTGTAAAATCAATTATTTTATATAATAATATATATTTTCAAGAAAAATTAAAAAAATGAGATGAATATATATACATATAAATATTGTAATATTATCCATATATATAATATATAATATATATACAAATATATATGTACATATATTTATTTCATTTGGAAATCTATATTAAATTTTTTTTTAATTTTATAAACATTGCAAAATAAAGTAATGCCATTTCCTATCCATTTCCTATTTTCTAATCTAAGAATGTAAGTGGTACAACATTTATCCTGTTCAGTAGTCCTTGTATGCTAGATACCCTAATTCTATAACTTCCATACTTTGGACCGTCGCAGGTACAGAGTGAGAGTGTGTTTTTCAAGTGGCACGGTGAGCCGAGGCACAGCGTTAGGTTAGCTTGTTGCGCGGGGACAGACCAGCAGTCACGCCCCATTCAATTATATATTCCAAAGCAAGCTCTCCAGAGTTCTTATCATTGATAAAACTCCGTCGCATGTGCCTCTGAAAACACATAGAACAGCACGTTAATACCAGACTGACAAGACTTTTCTTAATCAGAACAAAATTTAAAAACATGAATTTTCTATCATCTTACCTGCTTACCTAATTTAATTTTATTGCTGAAATATTTTGACTTACTTTTGATTCTAATATTAATATTAATAATTATATATTTTACAGTAAATAAAAAATTATAAATTAATATTTTTTTTAGAATGTAATTCATATTTTAAATTAATAATAAATTTATTTAATAAGATTAATAGATTGAAGAAAAATATTGTTTTAATATATACAATATCATTATTAGAAATTAAAAGTATGTCAAAATCCATCTAAACTATGATAAAATTAAAATTATAAAATATTTCTTCAATATTATTATGCTGAAAAGATGAGAATAATAACATTAATTTTTTTTTTTATATGATTTTATAGTATATTCCTGGATAATGAGTTAATGGAAATCAATTAAAATATCCTAAACAAAATAAAAAAAAATTTATCACTAATTGTATTAATCGATTATTCTGGACCTCTGCAGTTTTTAAACAATTTCCATTCACACCAAGAAAGGACTAATGTCAATCAGTCTGGCACATGCCGTTATCCGTTGCCACATCACAATTATACAACTCTCACAAATGTGAAATAACCATCGCAGCCTGACCCTTACATCATACCCACTCATGTGTAAACAGATTCTTACCTAATCCTCTTGCTGCAACATCTGTAGCTACTAGAATGGCAGATCTGCTATTCCGGAACTCTGAAATAAATTCTCTAGTATTGAGCAGAATATGTTTAGGCACAAAGAAAAAGGAATCTTAATTAGAACTTACGATTTAATACATAATCTCTTTCTTGTTGACTTTTATCACCATGGATGCCAATTGCTTGCCATCCATATCTATTAATTGCACGTGTTATATCATCTACTTTTCTCTTAGTTTCAACAAAAATGATAGTTTTATTTTCTGGTTCATTTGATATTTCTTCTAAAAGTTTCATAAGTTTACCCTCTTTTTCATATTCTTCACATACATCAACAATTTGGAGAATATTATGATTAGCAGCTAATTGTAGAGAGCCAATGTTAATTTGTATATAATCAGTTAAAAATTCTTCTGCAAGATTACGAACTTCTTTTGGCCATGTTGCAGACCACATAAGAGTTTGTCTATCAGGTCGTATTTGTTCTACAATTTTTCTAATTTGTGGTTCAAAACCCATATCAAGCATTCTATCGGCCTCATCAAGTACTAAATATGTACATCTACGTAAATTTGTTGTACCTCGTTCTAAAAAATCAATAAGACGTCCAGGTGTTGCTATACAAATTTCAACACCTCGTTCAAGATCTCGAGCTTGAGGACCTTTTGGAGCTCCACCAAAAATACAAGTATTTCTTACTTGTGATGAAATACCAAAATCTGATGCAACTTGTTGAATTTGCTGTGCAAGTTCTCTTGTTGGTGCCAGAATTAGAGCTATAGGTCCATCATTTCGGTTTAATCTTGGTTGATGATTTATATGTACAATTGCTGGTAAAATATATGCCAATGTTTTTCCAGATCCAGTTTGAGCAATTCCAACCATATCACGTCCAGATAAAGCAATAGGCCAACCTTGTGCCTGAATTGCAGTTGGTTCTCCAAAACCTTGTCTATGAATTTCATTTAATACATAATCTGGAAATCCACCTTCCTCAAAATATATGTTTGGACCTGGCACATTTGTTCCTTTCACAGTAATTTCTTTATCAGAACGATAAGCTTCAACTACATGTGAACTTCGAGTTGTAACATTAGGATGTGGCTGATAAAAGTCTTTTCTAAATGGTTGTAATGTACTCATATCCCATCTTGGTTTCCGTAAACGTTCTCCAGGTTGTCTGTTTTTAAAATTATTGTTTCCAAAATTACTATCTCTATTGGAATTACTACTAAATCTTCCACCTCCACTATTTCCATCTCGACCATTAAAACGGCCACCGCGTGCTCCTCCTCCTCTTCTATCATTACGTTCACGATCACGGTATGCCCTTTA